ATATGGGAGCTATATCTAAATTTGGACCGATTGAGCCAAATAAAGGTTATTTAGAAAGTTTAATCTCAATCTAATAATCAATGCGACCGTATTTTATTTAAATACATGGACAGTCAGGCAGACGGACGGACAGATGGACGGACATGCATAAATCGACTCAAAATGTGATTCTATGCTGATCACCAAGAGGAACTATGGGTCTATCTTGTTTCCCTTCCATGTTACAAACAAATGCACAAAGACATAATACCATTACCATTATATGCTGTAGGATATAAATATCCATACACAATATAATAACATCAAAGCTTAAAAATATGTTGTGACAAAATCCGCCATTGTGCAAAAAAAAAAGAGAATGGCTATCATATATCCCTATTTTTATACAAATAACAAAACACGGAAATCATGAAGGACGGAGAAGAAGAAGAAGAAATAACATATAAAAATAAAATCCCTAAGACCAAGGGACCTCCCATGGTTGAGTGTGTTGGCTTTTGTGCAGATTAACATCATTTTCAACACTGGTTGTCAACGTCCTAACTAACCATCAGCATCAGCTTTCCGTTTTGTTTCGTTTTGGGTTGGTTCGTTGGTTGGATTCTATGTTTCGGGCCAATGAACCCTTCATCGACCTTACTTATGTATGGAACTTTTTAACGCCATCCACATCATTACTGCCACTGGCTCAGCTGTTTGTTTGTCCGTGACCACCACTCAGGGATCTAAATACACTGCGGCACCGTTTCATCGGGTGAGGGTGCAGGGTGAGTTGTGTATGTGTATGCGTGTTTTCTAACAATATGTATGACCATTGAAATTGTTACATTTTATCTTATCTTTTTGTTGATGAAACAAAAACCAGAAAAGGAAAGTTTTATTTTCAAAATTATCGCACTTCCGCTTTTCTATTATCATGTTTTGTTGTTTCCTGGTCCCAGCGATAAATGTGGTTTATCGGAAGGAATATCAAAGTAAATAGATGTTGGAACCTTTTTCCATCTATTAATGAATGAAGCAGACAAATGTTTGGCGTTTTAGCTACTTTATAATCTATGGATTATAAAGGACTTTCATTTAAATTGAATTTTTTGTAAATCCTTTGTATTAAAAGTCTTGGAAATGTTTTAATACAGCAAGAGAAGAGCAAATTTAAAGATGGACTTGCAGTTCCCGAAATAATATTCTTTCCTTTCTTACCGCTTGGTTACGTTATAACTTTTCACTATTAATGAGTAACCAGTGGATTATATGCGATTGTTTTGAAACTATAGTGTATTTCAAAATTTGTTTTGGTGTAGGTAGTGGTTGTCGAATCCAACATGTGTGCAATATCCAACACGCTTTGATATACCATATGCTTTAAGTAGCTGTAAAACGAATTCGTGAAGTAATATTACAACTAATGTAAATTAACATTCAAGCAAAGACTTCTCAATAAATCCACGTGACATTAACTCATAGACAACTCGAAAATGTGATTTTTACACCCTACACCACAATGAGTAACATGCAAAATCAAACGAGATCAACCTATAATTTCGATTGTCGACATTTGAAACTTCTATTTCAATTCGTTAGCAGGATAGCGAACGGCATGCAGACTTAGAAATGTATGCTGATTCAGAATATATATACTTTGTAGAGCCTGTCATGAGTATTTCGAGGAGTAAAGGAATTACAAAGTAAATATAGCCTCCATAAAATGGTGGATGGTTTTGAACACGTACGTCTATTGGTTGTTTGAATTGGAAGTATTTGAAATAGAAAATAACAAGTAAACAAAGGCTATAGTTGTGCAAGGCTGACCATGTGATACCCTACAACACTACAATATGTTAGAAGCCTTTTTATGTTCAAATCCATTTTGGAAGATTTCGCTCTCTAAATTATGTCATAGATATTACCCTTAGCTTTTTTGTCAGGGACATTTGTCCAATATTTACGTACTCCGTAGTGCAGTCAGTTGTTGTGGTCTATTTTAAAGGTAAATATAATCCAATGGTCATCCAAAATACTAGACTTCTTTGCTGTCCTTAACTCTCTTCTCATGCAAGATTCCGTGTCGATTGGTTTCAATTGTGTGATCATCTCCAAAAGCAAAAGGCCCCTCTGTATCTCCAAATATTGTCTCAACTATATGATTAGCTTGTCTACGACATTTTTCTATATTCGTCAACGAAATCAGCATAACAAAGCCAGAGGGTCGCCTTCGTGCCCTTTGAATTCTATTTGTGACCCTTATAATGCCTGCAAAATCAGGAAAATTTTTAATTCTTGGTCCATTTCAACCCCTATATATATTGCGGACATCTTTAAAAACAATAGGCCTAGCCCTTCTAAGGCTAACTCTACCCTTGTGAAAATTTCCGTGAGGATCAGACGATAATTGCAATCCATATATATATTATACCCCAACCTGTGTTGTAAGGTGAAAATATATACTTCAATATTATAAGTCAAAATGAAAATATCGCATGCGATAAAAATATGAAAAAATAAATAAATGTAACAAAATACTACAAAACTAACTTCCATCTCGATTGGTCTATAATTGCGACCTGTAGAGCAACTGCAAAATCAGGAAAATTTTAGTTTTTGGTCCATTCCTACCCCTAAATATTATGCAACCATCTCCAAAAGCAATAGGGTCCTATTCTGGCACTAGCCCCACCTCCGTTCTAAATTTCGTTAAGATGAGGCTATAATTGCGACCTGTAGAGTGAGTATAAATTAACATGGACCAACGGACAGACGGACATACATAGCTAGATCGCCTCAGCTCGTCTATATAGAAAGATCCATATATACTTTCCTATGTGGAAACCAATATTTCGAGGCGTTACATAATTTTTGGCCTAATCACACTTATAATACCCCCAACACATAGTGTTGTTGGGTATAAAAACATAATATAGAAAAAAATATTAAAAATATTTCAAAAGTTTTTAAAATTCTGTTGATCTAAATGGAGTATCAGCCCGAACGCATTAAGGCAATGTGGTAGTAAAAAATGCTTGATTATGGAAAATTGGTCAGACCCTAAGTCCCACAAAGACGTAGTGGTAATGCGAAGGGCATATATTTGATAAAATACGTATGTATTGTATGAATGGTTAACTAAAACATTTGAAGCCATGTTCTGATATGTTTATTTTCGCAAAATTACAATTATCAGTAAGACCGTTTGGATAATGGTGTTAAAATTTTCACGGCCTTTTTATGGGGGCCATATCAAAACGGGAACCTCTATAGACAATTTTTACTTAAAGGATTGTTATCCACCAAATCTTCTTCAATACTAAATTTGAAACAATTTCGTGGCAAAATGTGACTAGGATTATCAAATTACCGAATATCAGTGGATACCGTTATATGTGAGTTATAGGAAAACGTTCTGCCATATACAATGTTCTGCTACCGGAACTTGAAACCATTACGAACCTCAAATCAAACAAGTAAGCAAAGGCTATAGACGTGCGGGGCCGACCATGCGATACCCTACAACACTACAATATGTTCGATGTCGCCTTATATCCAAATCCATTTTTGAAGATTTCGTTTTCGAAATAATATCAAAGAGCCCCGCCTAGACGATACCCTTAGTTTTTTGACCCGGAGAATTTGGTCAATATTTACGCACTCCGCAGTGTTGTTAAGTATTCAAGTATATGGTCCATTTTACAGCTAAATATAATCATCCAAAATGCTAGACCTCTTCCCTGTCCTTAACTCTCTTCTGATGTGAAATTCCGTGTCGAATAGTTTTCAATTGTGGACTATAGAGCTACTACAAAATTAGAAAAAAATAATTTTTTAGTCCATTTGTACTTTTAAATGTACATCTTAAGAACAATAGGCTTTAATTCTGACCCTAACCCTACCCCCTTGCAAAATTTCGTGAGAATCGAACGATAATTGCGATATGCATATAATACCCCCAAAACGTATGTAACAATTTAGAAAATTTACATTTCAAAATTGTAAGTCAAATTGAAATTGATAAAAATATGACAAAAATTGAAAAAAATCGATAAAAGATATTCATTTTTTATTGGTATATTTTTCCGCGATTTTCTCGTTTGAAAATCGGCCCAGCGGTTCTTGATTTATAAGCAGAATAAATAAGATCAATTCTTTTTCATATATATTGTACCTATTTTGCTATATATCCGATTTCTTGGCTATTAGCATCACTGTAATGGTCAGAAGTGATCTTTTAATGCATTCGAGATTTGGTTGGGATTAAAAATATTCGCGGTTAGTTGGTATGTTTCTGCCCACTCCTAAACGCAAGTTCGTGAGGATCGGTTCATAATTGCCACATGTAGCTTGATTACAAATTGCATTGGACAGACGGACGAACGGACATACATAGCTAGATCGACTCATCTCGGCGAGATAGGGAAATCAATATTTCGAGGTGTTACATAATTTTTGCCCAATCAAACTTATAATACCCCCAACACATAGTGTTGTAGGGTATAAATACCGAAAAATTATCAAAATACCGAATATCGGGAGGTACCTTTTATATGGGGGCTATACAAAAACCTATACTGATATATCTTATTTTCAATACCAACCATCCTAGACATAATAGAATTTTTTGTACGTTAAATAATGTTGGCTGCATCATGATGTCAGCGGGGAACGGACAGGGAGACAGGCTGACGGACAGACACATAGACAGTTAAATCGACTTAGAATTTTATGCTGATTATGGATATACATATATACTTTATGAGGTCTACGACGAATATTTAGGGATGTTACAAACGGAATGACAATTTTAATATACCCTCCTTTCTATGGAGGAGGGTACAAAAAATATTTTTCTCCGAAAATTAAAAAAATCCCCTTACCAACTAACGAAAAAAATAGATGTGCATATATTTCACAAAGATTTCTCTGCGGGGAAATACCAACGCCTTTAAGAGATAATTCAAAATATAAGCAACTCAACTGACCCTCCAACGAGTTTTCGTTCATATTTTGCTGATAAGAACTTTTGATCGAACCTTATGTTGTTCACTCACATCAGTATTGTTTAATTGGTTGAGAGTAAAACATTTACAAAAATGAAATTATTCATAATTTTATTTGTGTTTGGATTATTTCAATTGATATACTGTGAACAAAAAAACAAAGATTACTATGTAAGAAAACTGCGAATAAATAGAATAATTTTAATCCAATTAAATTATGAAAATTCGTAAAAATATCAAACATTTACAGGATTTGAATGACAGCACAGAACATGTCTATGTGGTGCAGCTAATATTAAAAAAGTTGGGTGATTTGTCCAAAGTTACGTCCAAAATTGATGCCAAAATGGAAGATATAAATAAAAGGTATGGGCTTGAAATTAGTATTATAAAATTTAATAATGATTTTGTCTTAGGTACCTTGAGGTGGAGAACAAGTTTAGCGAAGTGGATAACAAATTCAATCTGATTTCGCAGCAATTTGACAATTTTAAAACAGTAGTTTTAGAACAAATCAGAAAAATGAACAACGCTTTGAAGTATCGGGCAAAATATTTGCAGCATTGAATGAAAGGTACATATCTTTTCAATTGATATTTACTAGAATGCTTGAAACTGTATAAATCGGCTCATGTTACCTTTCATGCTTTATTTAATATCGGATTAGTTTTTCTACATTAGCCCATATAGCGGTTAAAGATAATTTAAAGAATTACGAAAATCCAACCAAATTGTAACCCGAGTGCTGAAATTTTTATGTGTGAAACGCGTTCATACAAATAATGGTCACTTAATGGATTTGAATTGCATTTCGACAGAAATATGGAAGAATAGGGCCCGCAATTGAACTATTTTTTAACAAGGGCTAATTTTGTGAATCATATTACTTAGCTAATGTCTGACTTGAGAGATAATTAGTTTTATCCTTCCGCTGAACGAATATTGTTTTATTACCCAATGTATATACAATAAAACAACGCTTTGAAACATTGCGATTTTACATACATTGAAAGCCGAGGCACCAAAAAGGAATCAGAAAAATAGAGCTAATTTTTATTCGAAAAATTAGCAAAAATTAAAGAGGTGTGTCGTAAGGTGCCAAAAACCTGATTTTCCCTATATATATATTTATTTATTTGGCGGACATTTAACATTTTCATACCCTCCACCATAGTATGGAGGGTATATTAAGTTTGTCAATGGAAATACACATTTTAGACCCCACAAAATATATATATTCTTGGTCAGCATAAAATTCTCTGTCAATTTAGCGATGTCCGTCCGTCTGTAAATGTATATTATGTCTGCAGGACTTTTGGGGTCCACGTTATAGCCCTCATATAACGGTACCTCCATACTTTCAGTATTTTACTCCCTAACACCGTTAAATACTTTCCACAACAACGATGTTTGGTGCCAATATACATAATACACATATAATAATACCTCTGCTAAATTTTTTGGAGATCGGTTCAGATTTGTTTTTGTAGCTCCCATATTTATCTTCATCCGATTTCACGTTTATTGTACCTAAAAAGAGTAATATCAGCTCGAATAGGATGGATTTTAATATATATTGGTACAGACACAAATGCCTTCGTTAAATTTAGTAGAATACGATAAAAGCCAGCCACATATTAGTTCCCTTCGGCTTTAAATTATAACTGCTTCAGCGATCATAGTTCGTGTGTTTTAATTCTCATAAATTCTAAATAAAAACGTTTATTTGTTATATGTAGCTCTACTATATATGCACAGTGGTGTAGGGTATCATAAATTCGACACAGCCCGACTTTTCCTTTCTTTACTGGCGCCAAGAATAGAATGTGCTGCATAAAGGCGACAAACAATATGTTAGAACATTATTAACGGAAATAGTGTCTGGAATCAAAACAGACATTAAGTAGGCTAGATGTTGCCAAGTCAGAACTATGTCGGTTCTTATATAGCTGTAGTTCTCTATATATATTAGATCCATCTACTCTGTAAATTCACTCGTTATCACTTATATTTGGAAATAAGGTCACTTACAGCTCATTTCAGACGAAGATAAATCAAAGGACCGTTGAATCTGTCATATTTATAAAATTGAATAGTACCATACATAAGGTTTTACCAAGATGAGGACATATATTATCTTCGATCGGCACAAATTTATTGATGTCTAAGGAAAGTTATTTTCTATTGTTATTAAGTATTTACAATACACATTGTTTCCAATATTATACTCTGTCCAAGCTTTTGAAGAAAACTACTTTTGGGTAAACCAATCCTGGAATAGAACTTTAATAAATGAACTATATAGCTAATTATTATGAAATATACCATAGGAAATATTCTATTTTAGTCTCAGAAAAAATAATTTTGAGGTTTCGCTCGTATTTTAACAAGAAAATTTTCTCCGATTCTAAGAAGTTTAGGGAATGAACGGGTATAATATTTCAAAAACTATGAGAAGGTATGGAAATGCCTAACTAAAAGATTTTATGTAAAGATTGATACACAGTATTTACTATATTGACTAATGTAACTACATTTCATTTTCCTACAGAGTCAACGAAATCAACGGGTTGCTTGCAAAATCTGACAGCAACATTCTAACTTTTTAAAAATGAGACTTCGAATATTTTGAATAACCAAACAAAAGCTTTGGAAAAAATGGAATCGAAACTCATCAGGATCAAAAAGGTAAATAAAACTTTTAGAAAAGTCAATTACCAAACCATTTTGAGGACATATTGGAATAAAATAAATAAGTATTTTTAACATTTTCTAATTTCCACCAGAATTGACGACCTGGAAGCCCGCTTGAATCTGACAGGAAAGAAAACTCAATATTTAAAAGTGATATTTCCAAAACTATCGGTGAACAAAACGATGCCTTCCGAACGGAATTAAATAAACGTAAGTCTATTAGAAATTATCACATCCCTTGTGGGAGAAGTACCAGAAAGAGTGGGCGGATATCATCTTCTATACCTATAATTGGTAGAAAATGTGGCAAGCTTGAAGACAATCATAAATTTGTTTCACATTTTATAACAGCTTTAATTTTTCCCCTTTTGTGGGGAGGTAACATATGAGTGGGTCGATATTGAAGCACCCGACATAAGCCTGACACAGATATTCTAACATATGTAATTTTTTTATTTCTCTATGAAGTATATGATGTTTTTGAAAGATTTGACAATTTGTAGGAATACACCGAAATATCACATTTACACGGGAGACCTGAATTTGTTAAATATATTAGATGGTGCGAGATTTGAACAAACAAATGAAACGGATTACATAATTTTGGAGAAAACTGTTATTAAAATGTTTTCCTTTTAGAGTGGTAGAATCGAAAGTAGTGGGGTACTCCTTGCTTCATATAACATAATGGTATTTCCGTAGTTTGAAGTATGTTGGACAATGATTTCACATTTTAGAGGAATTATTATTCACATTTTGTTTGTTTTCTCTGAATGTCAGAATAGGGATAATATTATGGTATTTCCTGGTGTATATCTTAAGTTAGCATTATCGTGTACCTTCGCCTCCCAATACGATTTTCATTTGTTTTTTTTAATTTTTCAAACATTGGCGTGGTTAGCGACACTTTCCAAGAAGTGTCTTCACAGAGGACGCATATCAAGCTCAGGGAGGCATTACAGCATCAAGAACCCGTGTGATTAATTGCTTTTATTTTTATTCCAGGGTTGCTGATATTAATAAATTGATCGTAACTCAAGCAATGAATTTTTGGAGTTCAAAACTGAAATTACCAAAACATTAAAAGAGCAAAAATCAACATTGGAACATTTGCAAAATAAGGCTAACAAAGATCAAAAAAGGTGAGCATATTTTAAAATATAATCTTAATATTTTCAATCTCAAATCAAAGTAAGTCTTACAATTTTT